CAAATCTCGGCCGTGAGGTGAGGCGGAGGAACGATGTGCACACATTTAGCCTGATGTAACACTCACAGACGCATGAGAGATACGAGGCAGACGTGAGTCCTGTCAGCCTCCTACAAGAGAGAACGAGCTTGTCATGAAGCTTGTGTCAAAAATGAGTTGATAAAGGTCAAACGCTAGCAGAGTTGACTGAAAGCAAAGCAGTCATGAGATTTTCATGAAAAGCGACAAACTAGCATCTACAAAAGATCTTAGTAATTGTGTTTCCTGTGAATTTGTGTTTAATTTCAGAAAGTTCATTGAAATGGGTTTCATTGACAAAGACAGAATTGGCATGTGGGGTTGGGTAAGTGCAGTGCTTTCATTAAAAAATGCGTTCATGTCTATAAATCCACACAACAGGTTTTATTATGTTGGTTTGGTTGGATTTTAAACTTTAAATCCAAGATTCAAGCTACACTCCTGGTCAAAAGTTTGGAATAATTAAGAGTTTTTGCATGAAGTCTTCTATACTCACAAAGCTGCATTTATTTGATACAGTAAATAAAACAATATAATGAAATATAAATACAATTTAAAATAACTTTTGTATTTTAATATATTTTAAACATTTATAAATGTTACAAAAGATTCCTTTTTCAAAAAAATGCTGTTCCTTTGAACTTTCTATTTATCAAAGAATCCTAAAAAAATGAATCACAAAATTTTCAACAACGATGATAATGAGAACTGTTATTAATGATTGATCATCAATAATAATAATAATAATTATTGAGCAGCAAATCAGCATATTAGAATGATTTCTGAAGGATCATGTGACACTGAAGACTGGAGTAATGATGCTGAAAATTCAGCTTCGATCGCAGGAATAAATTACATTTTACAATGTATTCGGACAGAAAATAGTTATTTTAAATTGTAATGGTATTTCACAATATTACGGTTTTAACAGATTTTTACGCCTATGGAGAGTCCCCACAAGGATAGCTGACCAGACGTGTGAGTGTGTGTGTATCTTTATATATACATAATAAATATACACAGTACAGTATTTTGGATGCGATTAATCACGATTAATCATTTGACAGCACTATTTTTTTTACTGTATCAAATAAATGCAGCCTTGGTGAGTAGAAAAAATTTTTTCTTAATTATTTCAAACTTTTGACCAGTACTGTACAGAAAGTATTGTAACAAAACATTTACATCTTCCAAAATGTCAAAACTCTTTAAAGCAGATTTAAGCTTTCAGTAAGTATCCATCAAAACCATCATTCAAATTGTTCTTGACGATCTTCTCTTTTCTAATTAAGGTAAAACAACAATCGCTAAAAGATCTACGATGAGCCTGTTGACTGAAAACCATCACACTAATCATGAAACGTTTGTCTTGCTCACAGTCGTATGGTGGTTATGTCACATCCATGGTTCTGGGATCTGGAAGTGGACTGTTCAAATGTGGAATTGCCGTGGCTCCTGTTGCTAAGTGGGACTATTATGGTATGGATTTCAAAATGTTTTCTGATTTATGATATAGATGAACCACAGACAATTTAGCAAACTTAACTCACACACTGCATTCTTCACAGATGCCGTATATACAGAGAGATACATGCATCGCCCTGAGGAAAACACTGAAAGTTATAAAGTAAGTTAACCCGTAAGAAAACATGAAATTATGAAGTTATCAATACAGTGCTTCATATATTTGGTTGATTTGCAGAATTCAACAGTGACCGACAGGGCAAAAAATTTCGAGTCAGTGCAGTACATGCTGGTGCACGGCACAGCAGACGGTAAGCAATGTAAAGTTTATAGATATATCGCATTTATAATCTGGTAAACTGACTCTGATCCAAAACCTAGTGTCTTGACTACATACGCAGCATTTAAAGATGTTTTCTTGCCATTTTGACTTCACTACTCTAGACAACGTGCACTTCCAGCAAGCTGCCCAAATTTCCAAAGCCCTGGTGGAAAATCAAGTTGATTTTGAAGCAATGGTGAGTTTTGATGAATGGATGAAGGTGATGAAAAAAAATTTTATTAAAGGAATACTTCATCCAAAATTGAAAATTTACACACCTCTGGCCATGCAAAACGTAGATGAGTTTGGAGAAATGTAGCATTACATCACTTGCCCACCAATGATCCTCTGCAGTGAATGGGTGCCGTCAGAATGAGAGTCCAAACAGCTGATAAAAACATCACAATAATCCGCAAGTAATCCACACCACTCCAGTCCATCAGTTAACTCCTTGTGAAGCCAAAAACTGTGTGTTTCTTAGAAACAAATCCATCAAGACGTTTTTCACTTCCATAATCCATAATACTGCTTTCTCTCCAGTGAAAGCAGTATTATGGAAGTCATCTGAACATGTCTTAATCAGGAAAGAAATCTGCACAGATCAAGCACCGTTTACAAGCAAAAACAGTCAAAACCAGTTCTAAACAAACTTCTTGTTGGATTTTGATGTGAAAAGACAAAAGACTTAATTACGGATTATGGACTCGTATTTTAGCCGGAAGCAATGGTTTAAAGTTAAAAATGCCTTGATGGATTGGTTTCTTACAAACACGCAGCTTTTCGCCTCACAAGATGTTAACTGATGGACTGGAGTGGTGTGGATTACTTGTGGATTATTGTGATGTTTTTATCAGCTGTTTGGACTCTCATTCTGACGGCACCCATTCACTGCAGAGGATCATTGGTGGGCAAGTGATGTAATGCTACATTTCTCCAAGTCTGTTCAGATGATGGCCTGAGGGTCAATACATTTTCATTTTTGGGCGAACTATTCCTTTAAGCTCTGAAAGGTCTTGTTTTCTTTAAAACACTCTAAATGCCTAAATGTGTAATATTTTCTCAGTGGTACACCGATAAGGATCATGGACTGTCTGGTAAAGCGCGTTACCACCTCTACGCACACTTGAACCATTTCCTGCAGAACTGTTTTGCAGAGAAAAAATAAATGGACTTATTGATGCATTATGAAGACAAATGTTCCTTTTACATTGGCACAAACACTGTTAATGACAGATGCTTTACATGCTAGTCTGTATTTAGAACATGTTAATGGGAACAAACTCTTATGTCAGAGCCAATGACAGTTACATGTAAGATTTTATAGTGTTTTTTTAATATGTGAAATTTGTATTAGCTGTTTTTTTTTTTTTATCAAATTGCTGTAATGATTACTCTACAAATGTGACCTGATATGAATGTAGTTTGTGTCACAGACGTCTGGCATGTTTCATAATGTTACATTTACAAATTGATCGTGGAATCCATAGTGTTCTATGTAGTTGTGTTTATGCACTGACTTCAATGTGTGGTTTAAGCATGTCTGTAAGAAAACTGATCAACTCAAACATTGGGGATTTGAATGCCTTGGTCTTTTGACTCATTCTTCATATCCTGAAAACAAGAAAAACAAGGAAAAATATTTCTGTATGTGAAACAATTCTACGTCTTAACTTCCATTTTATATTTGACATATTATAGAAGTTTGGACACACTGGACTAAATTTCGATACTTCTATCTCTGTGCCATTTAATAGTTTTGACATTTTTTTTTTTACATATTTGACTGGTAGTGTATGCATACAATAGTCTATATGATGGTATATGACCAGTGCCACCTGCTGGTTGAACTATTGAAATGTATGCCAAAGGAAATTTGTCTGACAGTCCCAAGAGCACAGATTAATGTCATTGAAAAAAACTTCTCTGAATTTGACATCACTGATGTTATATATACATCAACTAAAACCCACATTAATGAATTTAAGTCTAACAAAAATCAAGAAACATTAACAACATGAAATAATGTACAATCACGACAGCACAATCAGGACTATAAGCAGTATTAAATAAAGTATTATACAGTTTCTAAATATTCCTGAATAATGACGGCTATCCACACCGACCACTCAACTAGGAAACCTAACTTTCCAATATAATGCTCCACAACTCGAACCAATATTTCCATTTTTTTCCAGGTCTTTGTCCCTAAAACAACTACTTTACTGCACCACCAGTTAAGCTTTAAAACAGTCCAAGCTGCTATAACTAAAAGTGTTAGTCGAGCTGTTATTACTAGTTAAAAAGGATGTCCAAGTAAAAAAACAAAAAAGTTGCCATTACTACTATAAAAGTGTATGTTACTGTTACTAGTTCTACTGAGAATCTTCAGGGAAATTAACCTGATAAAATCTATAGAATTTAGAAAGTCTTTAAAAATAATGACATGCAGTGGAAAAGCTTCAGTTGAGAAGCATAACTTATAAACATTCATATAATCAATGTATAAATAAATGAACATATAATAGCCTTGAAATTACAATAGAATAGAGCTGACATCAATTCTACATATAAGTAAAATATTTAAATATTTTAAAAATTTAAAAATACATATGCAATATATAGAGAGACTATTGGAGTATGTTTTATAAGAAAATACCATTTCAGTCTTTCTACTTCAAAATTTCACAATTCAGAGTTACTTGTCATTTCTTTGTAATTATTTGTATTTACTAGCACTTTCAGAGTGAAAATTGCTTAAAAGTAAACCTTACATTATAAATATTTTTTTCAGTGTGTATTGAAAAATTTCCTTGTATTGCAAAAGGAGACATTTATTGATGTAAAAAAAAGAGAAAAAGGCACAAAAAGAAAGCTTTGCAGAGTGCAAACATCACTGCCTGGAAATCTGACTGAATGCATCTCATCCTGAATGTACCTATGCAATTATTTGCTCTCCTCTGTTTTTAACAAGACAGAATCATGTTTGACTTTTCCCTTAAGTGACTTTTTGACTTGTTTGACCATCTCCCCACCTCTCTTTTTAAACAGGTTCACAGTGCAAATACACTGATGCATTGTGATTAATGGATTGAAACTAATAAGTGTGTGTCTGTGTACGTGTGTGTGTGTGTGGATCACGCCACCTGGGCATCACTATATAAGACTCAGAACATCAGGCTGGGACCGTGAAATCGCACTGGGAGCCAGGAAGGAGAAACCAGTGAGGCAACATCAAAATCTTTGACTTTATTTCTCCGTGACGACCCAACGCAATCCAGGTGAGCCGGAGAACTTTTTGGCACTATACTATATATCTTTTGAGGTAGAATGCATGAATGGTTTACTTAGTAGCTGTATGGTCTGATCCTCAGGTAAGATAATGACAAGGATCTACGCCTTCATTGGACTTTTACTTCTTATTCTGATCCAGAGCAGCCTGCAGATTCCCATACAAGAAACCATGGAAGAAAACTCCAGGTAAGAGTAACTCAATTCAGAGTTATTTCATTTTTAATAGCCTCTGCAGATGGGAATTGTATTGTAGTAATACAATAAAACACAATCTGGGACACATTTAACCTCAAAAGGGGCTTAAAGAAAATTAAGCATATTTTAAGGTTTTATTTTTGTATTTTTATTTACTTAAAATATTTATAATTTTGCAGCAAACTTCTGTAAAAGTATGTCACTAATAAATTCAATTAAATGCATTTTTTTTCTTTTGATTTTGGGGTTGACATATCTCCGACATGGTGATTCTTTTTGGAGAATGACATGTTTGATATTGACTTCCAGCCTTATGTCTGAGGACGCACTATTTAGTGACCCAAGAGAAGTAAACAACATGAAGAGACATTCAGAAGGCACATTCTCAAATGATTACAGCAAATACCTGGAGACCAGGAGAGCACAAGACTTTGTTCAGTGGTTAATGAACTCCAAGAGAAGCGGGTACGTTTCAATTATGTAAGGTCTTGCAAAATATTTAAGAACAGGTAAAAAAAAAAAGACATCTGGCAAATGTGTGTAGACTATTGAACTATTATACAATTTTACATGACATTCACCAGTTGGAAATTCATTTAAATTATAGCAATTCTCACATGACATGACTACAGCATTAGAATGACTGAAAAAAAGTTTTTTTTTTTAAATGTTTTTGATATTTTGAAATCTCGTCTGCTCACCAAGGCTTATCTGTATCAATTTATTGAATACAGAAAAAACAGTAATATTATTAGAATTTAAAATAACTCTTATCTATTTAAATATATTTTAAAATGTAATTTATTGCTGTGATGCAAAGCTGAATTTTCAGCAGCATTACTCCAGTCTTCAGTGTCACATGATACTCAACAAATCATTCTACACTCTCAGAAAAAAAGGTACAAAAGCTGTCACTGGGGCAGTACCTTTTCAAAAGGCACACTTTTTGTACCTTTTAGGAACTAATATGTACACTTTAGGTACTAATATGTACTTTTAAGGTACTAACATGGACTGTTTAGGTACAAAGGTGTGCCTGTTTAAAAGGTACCGCCCCAGTGACAGCTTTTGTACCTTTTTTTCTGAGAGTGAATATGCTGATTTGCTGCTCAAGAAACATGAATATTATTATCAATGTTGAAAACAGTTGTGCTGCTTCATATTTTTGTGGAAACCCTGATACATTTGTGAATAGACAGTTTGAATGAACAGCATTTATTTGAATTAGAACTCTTTTGAAACATTATAAATGTCTTTAGTCACTTTTGAACAATTTAATGCTTCCTTGCTGAATAAAAATACTTTTTTTTTTTTACTTTTGAATGGTACTGTAAATAGATAGTTTATTATTGATGTCCTTTTTAAATCTGACAGGAAGAATATCAGCCTTTCCATAAACAATAATTATTTTTTCCTCCAGAGTCCCCACACGACGGCACGCAGACGGCACATTCACCAGTGACGTCAGCTCTTACCTGCAGGAGCAGGCGGCAAAAGAGTTTGTGTCCTGGCTAAAAACAGAAAGAGGACGACGCGAGTGAGGATTCACGACAACGAGATAAAAACTAGCCTGCATAACTGTGATATCCGACACTGTTTTATAATGCCTAGTGCTGTCAGTTTCACTGAATCATGCAAATAAATCTTTCTTCAAATGAAGCACTTGGTGTTTTGGTTTTCGAACGACGCTGTAAACCAATTTTAAAAATATGATCCAGACTGTTTCAGTAGAGGATAAACGTGGTTCAAAATGGATTGTGCAAACTACATTGTGTTTTGCGTTTTCAACTATTGGCGTAATAATTGAAATACAAGACATTTGAAAACTAAAACTGTATGTTTATGTTAATAATCTTGAATATTGTTTGGCATATGTTGTTCATAGTAATGCATTCCAATATTTGTTGCCAAGGACAATTTCTCAAAAAAGATAAACTATATGATAAACTACTGTGTTGGATTAACAATGCAAAAAAGCACATTGAAAAGCCAGCCCTATTGCAGAGAGTTTAACAAGATAACCTTGAGTTACAACTTAAAAGGCAAGAATTTGACATTTATCCAGATAATACCTTTGAGAAACAGACTTCATGAGCAGTTAAATCGCTATTTGTCAAGTTGACATGCAAGCAAAAGCTGCAAATTCATGTGCAATCAAACAGAATATCCATGTGTCAAATGGCTTCAATCATTCTGTCAGTATAACAAACAGAGTTCAGAGTTATGCTTAAGTCAAGCTTGAACTCCACTTTCAAACGATCTTCCCCATAATCCCCGAGGAGAACAAACTTCAGCGCGCTAAACTGGCCTGATATGTCACTTCTGCTTACCTCACCGTATCTAACATGACACTGACAGAAGACGGGAGTCACCAAAGCCTTGTGGAAATGTGTCAATTATCCAGCACTGTCAGGCACCCTGGGACTGCATGTCTCCGGTCCTTCAACAAGAAGAAAACGGCACCGGTGCCAGAGATGCAGTCCGCCCTGGGAGCAGGTCTCTCTCTGAGCTGTCAGCTGATGCTACAAACCATCTGTTCACCAAAAACACTACATATCAAGCCAACACGCTCACTCATTTTAATAGAGGAGAACCTATATAAATATACTTAATAGGCGTGTAACACTCGTTGTGTGTCAAGACAAACTCTTGCCTGGAAGTTTAAAAACTGATGTGCTACTTTTATGGTGCCATTTTTGTCAATTTGGAGCTTGACAGCCTCCTCATTCACTTAATTTACATACACTGAAAAACATTTGGTGTAGAAAGAATTTTGACTCAGAAATTACTAGTAAATTCCACAAATAATTACAATGAAACTGCAAGTTACATAATTAAATTAAGAATTTTAAAGTAGAAAGACTGAAATAGTATATTTGGAATAGTATTATATTTGTTTTAGTGCTGTAAAACGATTAATCGCATCCAAAATAAAAGTTTTTGTTTACATAATACATGTGTGTGTACTGTGTATATTTATTATGTATATATATATATATATATATATATACACACTCACATACAGCATATATTTTGAAAATATTTACATGTATATATTTATATTCATAAAATTTATATTATATATAAATATATTTAATATATAAACGTAACATATTTTTCTTAAATATATATACACATGCTTATGTGTGTATTTATATATACTTAATAAATATACACAGTGCATACACATACACTATGTAAACAAAAACTTTTATTTTGGATGTGATTAATCGCGATTAATCGTTTGACAGCACTAATTTGTTTCATTTACAACTATGAAATGTTGTAATTATTTGTACACTACTTATAAGGTTTACCAAATCTTAATGCTAAAAATTTTAATAAATATCTATTTATATAAAATACAGCATAATACGATGTAAAAAGATATATTTACTTACAATAATGCTGAAAGTGTTGTATGCAGGTAGGTATGGTTAATTGAGCATAATTGGGACCTTTTCCCAGTCATCTCCATGGCAAAAAAAGTGTGGCAGTTTACATTAATTCACCATGTTCAGTTGAGATTACCTTAAAATACGTTTAAGAGCTTGTATGTGTTTAGTTCTGCCGTTATTTCAACAGCGAATTATCTTGACAGGTTTGTGGGACATCCAAAAGCAGTATGTTGTCTTTGTGAAACCATCATAATAACAGTTTAAGCAACTCACCATTGTTATTTCAAGTGTACAGGAGCAATTGAAGCGTTCGCTCGCTCCCCCAAAAAATGACAAGACGCTCTCAGTATGGCCGCTTTTAAAACACTGCTTCACGAAGCTTCGAAACCTTTACGAATCTTTTGTTTCGAATCAGTTGTTCGGAGCGCTTATCAAATTTGGGCAAGTCACGTGATTTCAGCAAACACCGATGGTTGCCACTAGGGGGTGTTGATCTCAAAGTGTCCCCTTGAAACACTGTCTACTGTGGTTTTAGCTGAGCTCGGATCAGTTTTATGTATGAATGTTAATAAAACTGAAGTTAATCAATTGTTTTTGTACTGATTCATGATCAGTTCTCAGTGCAGGAGGCCCAGTTAATCACATGATGTGAAATCCCGCTAGATTTTTACTATTAAAACAAACGATAAGAGGCCAGATGTTGTGGGTTATTAAGTTGGCGGAAAGTGGATAATTTAGCATTTGAAATGCATCATAAAATGAGTGGAATAAAGAGACGAAGGTCTATTGTTTTGGAACACTTTGAGAGCTTAGAAAACAATATAGTGGGGTGAATTTGTGATCAGCACTTGAAATATCACAATAACACCTTATCAATGTTGTGACATTTGCACTCCAAACACCCCCAAGTAGCTAATGGGCAAACATCTGGTGGAGCTGCAACATCTGGTGTACCCACCAAATCTTCTGGGCCTCTACTGTAATTGGCAAAAGTGGTGGGATAATATTTCAAGTCCTCGAGGCTTTGTATATTATAAATGACAGTCACACAGTATACACTTTAATAAGTCACTTATAAATGTATTAATTTTTTTTCAGCAAAAGGACATTGATGAAGCTCTAGTGGACATGATAATCATGGATTCGCAGCCATTTTCAGTGGTGGAGGACGAGGGCTTCAGGGCATTTGTAAAGAAGCTTGAGTCAGCATATGTGCTTCCCACAAGGCATGCACTGAAGGACATGGTTGCTGCACGGTATGAAGTGACAAAACAGAAGGTGAAAAAAGCAAGCACTGTGAATCTGACATCAGACATGTGGACATCAATGAACATGGATGCTTACCTTGCAGTAACTTGCAATTACATCAAAGAATCAAAGTTGTCCACTGTTGTCCTTGGAGTTTTGAAGTTCCCTGAAGCCCACACAGCTGAGCACATTAAAGAAGCAAAGACTGTTTTTCTGGAGTCAAAGTCACATGCCTTGTCACTGACCATGCCTCAAACATGACTCTGTGTGCAAACCTTCTTCAGATCAGACACATTCCCTGCTTTGCTCACACCTTAAACCTAGTGGTGAAAAAAGCCCTCCCTCAGACAGCAGATCTCAGTGTCAGTATAGATCAGTGCAAAAAAGTGGTTACCTTCTTCAGATCCAGCACCAACACCACTGAGAAACTGTCTGCAATCCAGCAGCAAATGAGCAGGCCAAAAAAGTATGGGATTACATTTCTGCCACATTTCTGCGGGCGAAAGATTATATTTTGAACGCACAAAAGTGCATTTTGCACACGCGCGATCTGAGTTTTGTGGAGGCGGGCATCAGGTGAGCAAGCTAGTGAAACGTTGCACGCGCAAAAGAGAAGGTCTGCACACATCCAAAAACTTATTTTAAATGCAAAATTGATTTTCGTGCGCTCTAAATACTTTCTTCTTTGCGAGACAAACATTTTCTCCACAAAACTCAGTTTGCGACCGTGCAAAACGCACTTTTGCGTGCTCAAAATATGATCTTTCGCGCGCAGAATTGCAGCAGAAATGTAATCCTATAAAAAAGAAGCTGATTCAGGAGGTGGAATCTAGGTGGAACAGCACATTTTTCATGCTTCAAAGAGTTTATGAAGAACGTGAAGCAGTTGGTGCTGCTTTAACATCTTCGAACACCAACATAAGACCCTTGATCAGTGGACCGTTTGAAGCAGTCTCACAGTGTCTTAAGCCCTTTCAGCCTTCAATCATGCCACAGTTGAATTCTCTGCTGAGAAGGTGGTCACGGCTTCAAAGATCATTGTCAGAATGCTGTTTCATAAAATCTGTGAAAAGGCACAAAAACTGACATTAACAACAGCCATTCACCTCACAAACAACTTGATCACAAACCTAAAACAATGCTTTGGAGCTGTAGAATCCTTAAGGATGCTGGCCAAGGCCCCCCTTTTGGATCCCAGATTTAAGACCGTTGCTTTTGGCAGTGCAGACAACGCTGATGCTGCAGTGAAGGACTGTATTGCTGAATGCAGTGCATATTTTTTTTAATCTACTTTTAAGATTTAAAGCTGCAGTCCGTAACTTTTTTTGGTTAAAAATGATCCGAAATCAATATTTGAGCAAGTGCATATCCAACCAGTGTTCAAAACTATCGCCTTATTTTAGCTCGATTCACAACTGTAAGCTTATAATAATGTTTTCTCATTTGAGTGGTACAGGTAGGTTTTCGCGGGAAATTCGAGCATGCTGCTGCGTCATTACCTCACGTCTGTAAACAAGATTGAGTCCCGGCTAGTAGGCAGGGCCGCATTAATGCACGGGCTTAAGCCCAGGGCCCAGGGCTGAGGGGGGCCCCCGGTGATGCCGGAAATATTGTAACCGCATTTTAGACCGTTACCTTTAAATGACACTTTATCGCTTTTGGTTTGAATGCGCGTGTGGGCATTGCATGTACAGCGTGAGAAGTGTCAGTAAAACGCTCCCAAATATGAAAGAGAAAAGGGCAAAATTAGCAAAAATAAAGTGAAAAGTCATGCAGTCAAATCTGTTGAAAAAAAAAATCCAAAGCTCACGGCATATTTTAACGCAAGGCTAAGAGAAGATGCAGATCACGGCAAAGGTAGGTCATGCTAGGAAATATTGTAACCGCATTTTATACAGTTACCTTAAAATTACACTTTATCACTTTTGGTTTGAATGCGCGTGCGGGCGTTGCATGTCCTGCGCGAGAAGTGTCAGTAAAACGC